TATCCCATGCGTATTATAATGGGATACGACACACATCACTCGCGTTAAAATCTCCACTGAAACAAATGTAACAGGTGTGTACAATCAGATAGCGATAACACGCTGTTCGAATACATATATATATACATTATGGGTACATAATAAACCTACGTCTAACACATAATATAGCGCCGAGAAACAAGAGATTTAAATAATATATATTGCCCCTTTGAGGCTTACATAATATAATAATATACAAATTGTATTGTGTATTATCTGTGCGTCCCGTATTGGTAGGCATGTAATCGGTGTTCCCTAAAAACTTCTTATATTACATTAACTACTGTGAGTTGTGAGTACCTAGGTAATGTGTTTGGAAYATTTTYGTGCATGATTAATTAATAATTATTTAKAAATCAACTAATAAGTCGTGTTACGCTGGACAAATAATATACGGTATGGGAAAAAAAGTGAATCAGGTCACGTTGATGTACACTTGCAGCCAATCGTTCCCGAGACTCCAATATCATTCCAATACGATATATTAGTATTTTACGAATACTGTATTTAATACGAAAATCAATTTTTTTTTTCGTTCTTTTATGAACACGACGACCACGCATGTATTGTCTCCGTCTTACAGACATATGGTAGTAACAAATGTGCGTTCAACGGAACATATTTTATGAAATTTTATGTTATGGTTTAAGATTCAAGCGAATTGACCAATAAATTGTCAAATTTATCTTAGACATCTAATATAGGTTTTTTCAGTTTTTTGTTTACATTTACATATTTTTAAAGCGAATTATAAACCTTTTGAAACTATATTTAACATATTTGTAACCACACTTAAAATTAAAATATCAATAAAAGCCTATGAGATGCACTAAACATAGTATTCTTACCATTAGGTTTGTCGATAGATCCATCGTAATATTCAAGGTGAGCTGATAAAATATAAAATTGATTGTGCCGAACGAAATTATGTCATCTACTACGTTTTTAAGACGGAGATAATAAATGGCCCTCTTAATTTTTAAAATTCTAAGCCTATCATAACTTTTAAATTATACCTATCACATATTGACATATAATTAATATTATGCATACGTTTGCTGACAACTCACTTTTCTATAGTTTTTCACATACATAATTGGTATTGAGGGACAATCACTAAAAATTATGATATGCGGGGAGGTTCTATGCAGATTATTAATAATAATTTGGTTAATTGATTTTAGTTATTGATAATAATATTTAGATGATAATATATAATATTATAGTTGCATGGTTAACACTTTAATATAGCTTACAGTCATGAGTATATTTTAACACACAGGATTCGTTTACATCACTAAACACACCAATACAATTATTAACATAATATTATTGTACCTGCATATAATAGGTACCGAGTGCGTGATCACATCAATAATGTTTACAATATTATTGTATTCTAAACACAGACGCAATAATATAAGACTAATTATTAATAATAATGATGGTTTGGTAGGACAAGGACTCTGCATAAAACGACTTATTTTCACCGACAACCCCGAAAAATACTATAAAATATTATGTTAAACGAGTACGACATAAATAATAAAATATAATAATAATTATAAAACAATAACGACTCGACAATGATATGATATTATACGATTACATCCGACCATATCGGCTAYGAGCACGTTTTCGGCGTGTATCTATGTGATGACGTGTAAAGCGAGTGAGCGAGCTATACCTCGGGAACGGTTGTTCCAAATGTAAAAAAAATGACCAGGTGAAGACGGTGGATGATGTTCGCAGATGAATGGACCGACTTGGACGTAGACAGCAAACGCAATAGTTTGTGCAATACAGGAAGCTGTGAATTTTTGTTAACTTGCTGGATGGCTTCCGGTTACATTGAGAGCACCTGTGGTGGCTTCCTGTACGTCTGTTGCGACCGAAATTCCGCCAAAACGAACGAAAATATTGCTATCAATACTAACAGAGCGTCGGTGCCGGTCGACTATGGGCCAGTGACTAACGATCCCAGTAAGTCACCGCCGGTCCGCGGTTTTATTGCCTATTACACCTTATACATCACTTTACTTATATACTGTTATTTTCTTTCATTCTTCGTTTCTTGTCTAACGATAACGCTACAAACTGTATAATAACCATAATACGTATATTTATACTATATTATTACGACCTGCTTTTGTAAAAACTTCACAAACCGTCGCTCGAAGACACAACACTTACGACATAACATACCTACAAAATGATTTTTGTTTTTTCAATGTTAGACACACATTATTACAAAAACTATTGAAAGTTTAAAAAAAAAAAAATATTTTTTTAATATCTTTAGTAGTAAAAAAATGTTTAGTTTTTTAGTTTTTGATGAAAATTCATACTATGTACATATTTCTTGGAGTATTTCGGTACTTATATAAAAATCTAAGTATGAGTATGAACGAATGATTTATTATAATAAGCTAAAAGTATTTAAAGCTTAGATGAACGGAACAGTGGACCAACATTTTACRGGGTACCCTTAGCCACTCCATTTCGCTCATCTAAACTTTAATTACTTAATGTTATAACCCATAAGTACTTACTCATTCAACATTTTATTTTTATATATTATAATATYCAAAAAAATATTTTTCATCTGATTTTAAATTAAAAAAGTAATTATAGAGATAAATAAAGATAAAGTGTGTAATCTAATAAGATAAATGGTTCTATGTTTTAACTATTACAAATTATGCGAAAAAAAATATTTTCAAAAATGTTTATAGTTTTCGAAATAATGAGTGACTTGGCGTCTCTAAAAATCATTCTGTTAATTAAACCAATAAACTAACCCTAAACAAGTCATAACTTTTACAACACAGCTTTATACAAATACTAAATATACACCACACTAAAATTAAACATATCATATGAACCTTAATGCGTTTGTACATCAAAATAAACGTCACATTTATAATCATTATGTGAACCATTTCATCCAATTTATAAGTAATATCGCTGTCGATAAACTGGTAAAGCGGTAAACACGATTTAATTTATAACAATAATAATTTTTTTTATTATTGAAACTTTGTGGTTTTACAATTTATAATACATTATTAAGGGTCTAAGATAATCTTGGCGAATCTGCGTGTTAGAGCCTGAGTGTCGCAACTATCTAGAATATTTTAACGTACCTAATATCAAATACCGAAATTTTACTAATAATTTTTAAGGAAATAAAAATATCTTATCGATATCTATTTTAGATGTAGGTACTTAACTACTTAATATTGTCCGAGGTAAAGTTTTTGTTTATCTGTCTAAATAAAGTATTTCGTTATTTTATTTATACACGAAAATGTAGTACCTTCGAATCAATGCTTGTCGAATTTTACCGTTATAGTTACATCCGAGGACGATTGATGATATCAAAATGAATTTGTCTGAATAAACCTCTATTGAACTCTATTAGTATTTTTGATAAACTTTGTTTTTTATTATTTAATTTTGCTTTATTATGCTTTAATATGAATAAGATCAAATTAGAACACTTAAATCGAACAAAAAACATATTTTTGTTTAATGAACATTTATTTGATAGGGAATACAAAAAATGTCGTTCCTATATTAATTATATTTTAAGGGAATCAAAAAAATTGAAATTTGATCACTCGGACWGCGTTGCGTCTAAGTTTAAAAATAATTGGTATATTAATAATATAATAGAAGTAATAAATCTAGAAAATACAAAATCATGTACCGAGAATCCAAATTATGAAATCCAAATGTTATTAACAGTATAATATAATGTAAATATAAAAAATATAAATGATGAGTAAAAATACATTTCAAGTACAATTTTCAGTCTTAAGTATAATACACTTGAACTAATAACGCTGTATATATGTAAATAGTATGTTATCAGTGATATCTGTATATTAGTTTCAAAACGAWTAACGAGATTTCGATTATTATTTTTTGTTTGGAAAAAACTTGGAATAAACTTACAAATTATTTTAAATTAACARAATTATGTACCTACATTTTCCTTTGTAAAAAAAAAATACAAATGAATGACAGAATATTCTACACAATATATATTATAAATACTTAACTATATATTCATAATTGTTTACTATTCGATAGACCCATTCGCTAAATTACCTACTTTAAAATAGGTATTTAGATTTTAACATGAAMAAATAAATAAAATTTGGGTATTTACATTTTTATTATGGGTTCAAACAAAATATAATTAAAATAAATGACTGATTTTTTGATTTTTAATACCAAACCTAGATTCATAAAAATACATTATAAAATGTTATCTTACGCAAATTAGAAAAAAATTGCACCAAAACATAAAAAATAGTACTAAAACACTAAAATACTTCAAATATACAAAAAAATGGCTCTAAATAATTTTTTATTCGGAGTATTACAAAACAAAACAAATGTATAGCTCACTCTGCTATTTTTATCTGCAGTATCCGATAACTATTATCAAATGCTATAAAATCCTAAACCTGGTTATTATTATTATTATTATTATTACGGTTTAGATTTCCGTCGTCGCGTCGTTACGTCTAGTCTGTCCGAGACTGTGAAAATAAGCAAAATCGGTGAAATCGTATGCGGTTTTCACGACRTTTCGTCTGTAATATAATGATAATAATAACAATATAATATAATGTCGGCCGCTCGCGATTTTCGCGGGGAAATCGTCACCGCGGTCACTGCGTCGGTAATCGGTATACCTAACATAAAACCTGTACCGTTGTACCATTATACATTATTATAATATCGCAAAGAATAATTTCCGGATTACGACTATGAGTACTGTCATATCATATTATATGAACGCGACGTGTATATTATTATCATACTATTATGACGCGCGGTCAGACAGTTTCTCGACTGACGAAAGACAGGCAAGTCGAAACGGTTTGATCGAATTAAAAAAAAAAAAAAAAAATTTGGGAAAATAAACAATAATATTTTAATGACGTGATATTAACGT